ACTTAAACAAAAACTAAATTAACTCTCTTCTTCATATGGACATGAAAGGTCTGAAGAGAGGTTACAATTCTAGATAATTAAGGGGATATAATTTATTATAACATTTATGTGAAAAAAAAGGATAATTACAAAAAAAGACTCAAGGGCAAGAACTGGCTAGAAACTAACCTAGGGTCTTCTTAGTAATTTGGCAAGTGAGAAAAGACAGAAAAGGACAAAAAAATTCAAATGGAGCCTCCTCATCAATTCTCAAAAGGGGCCTTTGGTAAATTCCCTGGGTCTTTCAAATACTATTTAGTATATATAATGAAAATTCCCTTAATTCTCCGATTCAAGTATAGTATTTTTGATAAAATATACAACTTTTCAGTAACGAACTACTATAAATTTGATAGCTTCTATTATTGATAAAATGGTTAACAAATTACTCATAACGAAAAATTGATAAATTTATTTTCAATAATTTTCAAGAATTTAGACAAATTTAAAATTCTTAAAATTAAGAATTAGATTATTAAACAATATTATATAAGCAATATGTAACTTAACAAGAGTTTCAACCAAAACTTCAATCCCACGTGTGAAACACATGGCAATATACTAGTTGCTATAAGTTGATGGGCTCTCTTGATCTAACAAAAGATGGTTTAATAGACATGCATATTAGCAATTGAACTTTCATTCTAAAAGAAAAAAATAATTCAAACTTTCAAAATTACCAATTACACCCTGAACTCATAAAATTAATTAAATTTATATTTGACGAAAATTTATCAATTTCCGTCTAAAAATAGTAGCTAATTTAATTTCTGTCTGCTAATGAAATTTAACCAGTTTTCATCCAAAATATTTAATTTGTCCATTTTTTACAACTTCAAACATACAATTGACAATTTTGAAAGTTTAAAGACTAAATTGTCAGTTTCTTACAAGTTTTAACAGCCAATATTATACGCCAAAAAAAAAAGGAATGATGGGCTTGTATCCTTAGAAAAATGTAGCAATCTTGACCGGGGGATCCCCTGGCCCATTATTCCAATATCAAACCAAAGCCTGACAAAAGCAGAGCAAATATTGATGTTCTCGACCAAAACAAGAGGAAGTTTTCGATTCTGAAATGATTAGCCAGACAAATCTATGTTAACCAGCTTCTTGGAAGCTTCCTTCACTTTGCCAATGAAACTACTGAATGTCTCTATTCCCATTTTTGATATGAAATGGGACATTTGAATTTTGATATTGTCAACCTTAAGTCCTTAAGTATAAGCGTTTTTGGACATGTTAATTACATGCATTTATGGTTATGAAGAAAAAGAAAAACATGGAATTAATCAAGAATCATCAGTAAACAAAGAGTTTTGTTTGTTTTCCCCCAATTATAAGCGTTTTTTGGATATGTTAATTACATGCATTTATGGTTCTGAAGAAAAAAAAAAGAAATGGGGTTAATCAAAAATCATCAGTATTTGTATTTGGACAATTAGTTTTGTTTGCTTCTTCCAAAGCTAGCTAGGAAGCTTCCTCGGAATGAGAAGAACTCATATTGCTACATTTTGTAGCAAGTTTAACTTAAAAAGATGGAGAACAAGCGACACTAAGAAGAAAAAAATGCGGCACGTCTACTTCTTCTTTCTCTTCTTGTTACTTTTCTTCATCTTTATGTTGACTCCTAAAGACGAAACCCCCGCAACAAGTTTTTTTCCTGTTGATATTATCAACAAAACCTGCAAAACTTGCTCAGAGAAATTCTCTGTTTTAAACTACAGCTTCTGCTCAAAATCTATCCAGGAACTTCCTGTCAGCCATGTGACAAACCTTCAAGGTCTAGCAGTTGTTGCAATGGAGCTAGCTTTACAAAATGCTACCAACACACTTTCAATGATAAAAGAGTTACTACTTAACAACAAAACTTTGGGTCCTTTTTCTTTGGCTTGCTTAAGCGATTGCTCTCTGCTTTACTCTGATGGGGTTGTGAAACTGGTGGATGCTGTTGGAGCATTTTTGACAGGGCAGTATGCAAATGCTGGTGTCTGGGTGAGTGCGGTAATGGAAGGAACGGCGACGTGTGAGAAAGGGTTTCAAGAGATGGAAGAAGTGTCTCCATTGACAAAGGAGAATTACAGTATTTTTCAGTTATGTGATGTTGCTTTATGCATCATGAATTTGCTTGCTTCTGAATCTTAACTCTTTACAATTTATTTTCATATGAAAAAATGTACTGTCAAGTCTTATTACAGTCGCAATTCCATTTTACTTGGCTGATTTGAAGCGCGCATGTAAATTGAAATCAAGGAAAATATTATGAAAAATACGAAGGAAAATATTTCCTAAGTATGTTTGGTTAATGTGGAAAATTTACGGGGAAAGGAAAATATGAGAAAAGGAGTAATGAAGTAGATTTTATAATCAAAATGGATTAATCAGATATTAAAATTATGTTAGGTTATGTAATGTTACCAGTAGTTGAGTTTCTCAAAGCAAATGAACTTCCAAGAGAGCTAATAAAGCTAAATAGAAAGTAATTTATGTACAAAATTGCCCAAAATCTAATCCTGGCTGCACAATCTGATATGTCTATCTATTCACTGCCATATTATCACCGCTGGATAGTGTGACATCCTCGACCTTGTCTCCGATTTGAGATGTGAAAATACCATAAATTAATTGTCTCTATAGCCACCTGGAAGAATAGAGGAAGTATACAGATTAATGTCAGAAAGAGTACACTTTTGATCTAACATTTCACCTGTAAGAGTAAAAACTGAAACCACCAAAATGTAATCTAATCTCCTATCTCACCTGAGCAAAAGCATAAGGTAATTCTAAGTACATCCCGGCTGCTCTTTCGCAGTAGAAGACCATCCTTTCAATTGACACAACAGATTTATAGCTTATACTCACTTGCTGAATTTCCCAGGTTCCGACTGATATAAACACTAAAGTGCTGAGTAGCATCTTTAAGCATATATTCTTTTGAATCAATGGATATTGAAAACACCTATGTTTAGAAATTTAATTTGCAACCTTCTCTCTTAGCAACCAACAGAAGGTTGCAAGAATATTTCATTTCTCCTTTTGTGCTCCCTGAGAACTGTGGCTTTATTCATATTGTTTTAAAACTTTGCTACAAACTTGAAACAAACTAAAGCCTGGGCAAAGAATTACTACCTGAATGATTTTGAATCAATCCCTGTTGAAAAGGTTGCCATGACAACTGCACCTATTGCAATAAGGAAACCCTGAAATCGAGGAATAAAAGAGAATTCAACACTCGGGGAAACATATGATGCACAAGACTAATTGCAGAAAGCATCAACTAGTCAAAGACAAAGAAGAACAACTGCCTCTGTTGGAAAAGGAATTGCTAAGTCTTACAAGTATGTTGATCCAATCATGTCCAGTTTTTTTTCCTTTTGTATGTTGCATTTTTCATCAGCTGGTTCACTGGAAAGCCATGTAGCAAGAAATACAAGCTAACTTATATAGGGTGGCGGTCAACTCAATTCATTGCAGCAGGTTAGAATAAGGGATCAAGTCCTCTAACCTTCTAATAGCAGACCAACAGAGGAAAATAACATAAGCAGCCATAATTCCTGAAGATAAAAGACCTCTATTAACCTGAAAGAGGAATGCTCTCGCTATCAAATGATAATTTAAGATGAATTCAGGAATGTATCACATAAGCAAAAGGCTAACGTTTAGCTAAGTTGATAGTTGAGTTTGATTTCACAATATGAAGTTCAATGATAGAGAAAGATCTTTCCGTGGTGTGCAGATGAGAGCTCCTCATGATCTAAATGATTAATTTGAGCTCTGTCTCATAAAGCCGTATATGCATGCTAAGTTTTTTCAAGTCTTTAGATTTGGCTTTCAAAGCAAACATACCATAAATCTGAATAAAATCAGGAGGTAGGAAGAATGGCACCACCATTGATACAACCAATAAGACAAACTTCAGTGCCCACCATCCCGAGTGCCATTTACTGCAAGCTTGGTATGATTTTCTTGTACTAACTATTGCCAACAATAAATATTCATATCCCAGAAAAATGAGTCCAAAAATTGCTCTCAGATAAATAAATTAAAAAAAAAAGGTCAAACTTTCATTAATATAAAGCTAAATCTGTCCCCCTTGCAATTACATGGCTAATTATGCTTTTCATATATATTATTTCAGTTTCTAAGCAATCTGCTTTTCATATATACAAAGTGGCATTAAGAAAAACAAAATCTGGCTTTGCACAACTTGAAGTAAAGGAAACAGCTCCTTCTGTAATGTTTGAAGAGTGTTCTAATCATGAATGCTAGGCACCATACTTAGCCCAATCTGATATACTTGCTAATGGTCTTATTCACATCTGATATACTTGTTGATATGGTTCCTCAGAAAGTATACCATTGAAATCATACCCTCTGGACAATTGTTTAAATGTGGGGTCTCTCACTCAGAAAGTCAGAACAATCATTCATTTTCTCACATCAACATCACAATAATTACAAGACCATGATGAAATGCCTAGTTTTTAAGCCCATTTTTCATTTACTATTACATTATACTACCAATTACAAGCTAAAATCAAATATGCAGCAGATGAAATGAACAAAAAGCAAAATTCATATGATCTACTAATGGAGCCAAAATACAGCAAAATTCATAAGATCATGCACACAGGCAGTTAAAGTGACAATCATTCCCCTTGGAAACGAACAAAAAGCAAGGAAATCCATAACTCTTCAAACCTCAAACTAATTTCTTATCTGAAAAAGATTAGAGAAAAATCAAACTAGATTGCAGAGATGGAAAATGAAGTTGAGGCCATTGAATTAAACAATCTTCTGAATTTTGAAATTCGATAAATATATCAAATATTATACAAGGTAATTGGAACTCTGAAATCTTTATTGAAGCAGCAAACTTGTTTTTATCTGCTTCCTCTAAACAAATTCCACTAGAAGAAAGTAACTCAAAATTCTTAAGCACTGGATACAAGATATATATCTTACAATTGTGAAGCATGAAGCCCTTCTTCAGTTTCCTCCTCTTCCTTGCTCCTAGGATCATGGTTCTCATGATTTGAGCTCAACAACAATCGATCATCTCCTTCTGTATGACTGCCAGCACTTTTTAACAAGGACAGCTGATCCATCGCAATTGCATTTCTTTTGTAGTTCCACACCAGCATTGAAATATAGTCCTGTGGTGAAACAAGACCCTGCTCTCCAATGCAATGTCTTTGCTCTTCCAAGGTTTTTGGATCATCAAGCCTGATATATTCAACTAACACCTTCTCATGATCGGGCCTCCAATTGCTAGGGAAGGGTGTATAATCAGTCTCAGGAATGAGAGACATCCTGGTATAAAGAAGGCCATCAATTGACTCGGCAAGACCCATCCTTAGCAGATTCTGATACTCAGGTGACTGTCCTTTTCTCTCCTTCAGAGGACGGCTCAGATTTCGAGCACCAATTTTGTAAACCTTTGCTCTTGAACGAAGTTTGTACTTTGCAGCATAGAGCTTTGCCAGTGAACCCCTAATGATATATGAACAAAAGTTAACAGCTTTCTTCCGATTGTCAGCATATTTATACCACTCAACCATTGTTGACAAAAACTTGTTCATCTGGGCATTGGTGTGAGCTTGAGTAGCATGAAACATTCTAAAACATGGTTGTGGATCAGGTTCCCTATCACCCTTAAGAAAGTTTAACTTTCTAAACTGCTTGATGCATTGTTTCAAACTTGCTGTGACAGACAAAAGGGTGCCGACACCTTTCTCACTTATAATCTTACCACCTGTTGCTGTGTACCGAAGAGTTGGATATACTACTCTCCGACACAACACGTGGTCAAGAAACAGTATACCTTTGGTGATATGTTCGATTGGAAGGCACTCGTTATCAAGCTTGATCATATATTTCTGATCACAAAACTCAATTAACTGTTTTCTCAGTGTTGCTGCATCTGCCCTTGGTCCACGGATCCCAATCAATATGTGACCTCCATAACGTATATAGTCCATCTTTCGGGTCTTATCTGGCCCACTTGTTGGCACAAATTCTGGCCAAGATGTGTTCCCCTGTTCTGCTTCCCCTTCAGGGCTATTCCATATGACATCGCTCTTTGAGGGACGATAAAACTCCTTGATCTTACCTTCCATCCACTGATCCAATTCATCAAGACATATATTAGATAAAAGGGGACTAAGAATTCCACAATGCCCCCATGAAGGAAGTTTTTCTGCCTCCTCTGGAGCAAAACCAAAAAAAGTATCCAACCAATAAGGATCAGGCTTTGGCTCATCCTCTGCCAACACCCTCTTCTTCTGATACTTCCTTTTAGGCTTTTTCTTCTCTTCAACCCGATCAACTGGAGTGGTAATTACAGGTGTAACTAATGCCGACTTGATTAAATCAATAATCCTCTTATCCCTAACATCCCTCATCAACGCATTTATCACCAACCCCACTTTCAATCCATCCAAAATTGGACTTAAATCACCCTTTATATACCATAAATAACCTGCAAAACTTCTCCTAATCACCCTCAAAACTGTATGTGCATTCCTCCCTGGCCTAAAAGCAAATGACTTCTGCGAGAATCGAGACTCATATATTGGCTCCAAAATCATAAACAAAACCTCTTGCACTAACTTATCTTGAAATGGGGCAGGTTGAGTAGTTGTCAAAATCGCCTTAATCTTCCTCTTTGACAAAGATGCATAATCGGTCTTGTCTTTAGGCGATTTTATAAAGAATTCTAACCTAGCACCCCACTTAAACCTATTATCAAGAACAGCATTTCTTAAGGCTAACAAATCTTCCAAGGCAGACCTAGTAATTGAACTACGGGGCACATACGATCCTATTTCATCAGCACAAACTTTCTGGTAAGCTAAAACCCACAATTCAAATCTGCGAAGATAAGAGGACAAATTGGTAATTATCCTATCAGGTTCTCTGAAGTTCTCAATCCACATTTGTGAACAAACAGATACACCATCTTCTTTCATTAGGTTTGCAGGGTCATCCGGGTCTGGCACACGCCGTTGCATAGAAGCATATGAAAACAAGCGAAATAAAGCGAACCCATTTCCTCTACGGGTAAAGGCATTGGATTGACAGTAAAAAAGGGAGCTTTTGGTGGTTACAGTAATGGGATTTTTGAGAATTTGATAGGTAAAGATGGCGAGTCCTCTATGCATTTGGGGATGATGATATTAAGCTATTGATTCATGTCATTCTTGGGTTCTAATTGAATACCAACTATGGATCAGATATGATACAGAGAGTTGAAGGAAGTTTTTCTACCAAAAAAGAGAAAAAAGAAGAAAAAATTGGAGTTGGAAAGCGAGTAAAACGTTGATGGAAACTTTGAATGTTAAATCGAAATTTAAAACTCAAAAGTGAAGAGAGAAATAAAATTTGAGTTCTTACTTAAAAGTCTTGAAGAGTCCTGCGATTAAAATCTGTCTGTCCTCTTGTCAGCTGAGAGGTTTTGGATTTTAGATTGAGAACACCAAAACCCTTGCTAAACCTTGCGCTTCGCTCGCCTCTCTGGGATGTCGACCCGCGCTGCCCTTCGCTTTATCCGTTATTACATTTGTGTCCTCTTTTCTTTTTCTGCGGCCCGTTTGGCGTTTGGCATTTGGCTATAGGATAATTTTGGGTTATGACTTATATGAGAATTATTACTACGGCCTATATATATATATACTATATTAAAATATATGTTTACGTGTAAAATTTTTGAATCACCTATTATGCCCTTATTTGTCAAATATATTTTTATGTTATCATTTAGATTTATAGTTTTACTCAACAAAAAACTCTATTTTTATTTAATTAAATCTAATATCTTTATAACTATTTTATTTTACTCAACTAAAAACTATATTTTTATTTAATTAAATTTAATATCTTTATAACTATTTCAGTTTACCATTTAACTATTTTAACTAGAAAACTTGATATATTAGAATTTTTTATGGCATTGTTTCAACTTTTACAGTTTTTTTTAGAAATAAACTTTTACAATTTTATTCTACTCAAAACTCTATTTTTATTTACATTAAATTCAATATTTTTATAAATATTTTATTTTTACCATTTTAATTTTAAAAAATTTGAGACTTTTTTTGTTAATTATCTAATCATTTATTCATCATTTTTTAAAACTAATTAAATTAAAAATTTATTTAAAATTTAATTATAGTGATTGGGCTGTTCTGTTTTTGGAGTGTGTATTGGTATAACAAGAATTTAAAGTTTTTAAAAATAAAAAGAGGAGTAACATATAATTATTTCCTTTGACTTATAAAGTCAGAGATGTCAATTAGGCGGGTTGGGTGAGTTTCGGGTTATCGTCATCTGGGACAAGTCAAATGAGTTAAGTAATTTTCTCGGCTCATTCGGGTTTTGACTCATCAGGGTTCGGGTCTCGGGTCAGATGGGTTCATGTTTTGGCGTCGGGTCAATTGGGTTTTTCATCATTTGGGTTTTAGATTTTTCGGGTCAATTGGGTCAGCCTTAAATTTTTTAATGTTTAATTCTTAAATTTATTTAATATATTTATTTAATCCACTACATGAAAAGTTTAGCAAACTGCATATACGGTGTTAATTAATTTTAATTATTAATTTAATTTTCATTTAATTTAAACACGATAGATCACGTGCAACGCACGTGGAAGTGAAGACTAATATATATATATATATATATATATAATAAAATTGGTAAATATTCAAATCAGGATTAAGAGTTTGGGAAAGTGTTCAATTTAGGTTTAATTCTTTAGATTAATTTAATTGGATATGAAAGTTTTGGTGTCAATTAAATTAGACATTTTTCTGACCGAATCTCTTGCGTGTCATGCATATGCACTGTGCAGTTAAGTTATGAACATGCCATTACCACGCCAAAAAAGCCATGTAGTACTACACGCATAGGTCCATAAAAAAAAGGTCTAATTTGGTTGCTCACCTAAAATTCTAGGTCTAATTAGATTCTATTTAAAGAATTAAACCCAAATTGATTACATCCCCAAAATTTTAACTAGTCATGATTTGATTATTTACCCGATAAAGTTATAGTATATATATCAATATCAATAATTCTTTTTTATTGCTAAACACCCCGTCCCCTTTTATTAGCCACCGCCTCTCCCTTGGTCTATTTTGTCCTTTGCTATATTTTCCATCAAACTTCAAACTTTTCAATTCTCTCAAATTCTCCTAACCTTCAAACTTTCAAAACTCAATCATTCAAAATCATTCAAGTAAAACAACATCAAAACTCATTAACAAAGATTTTTCGGATTGAAAGTATGTTTTTTTTTTTGAAAAAAAAGAGTAAAAAAACAAATATCTATTTATCATTAATCAAATATTAAAGTTCTCTTGCTAATATTGATATATCCATACCCATTTAAACTAAATGAATTGTCTAATACTTATTAAAGGACCAAAGAAAATTAAAGGAAAATCTAAAAAAAAAACCTTTAAAGAAGAAAAAAAAAACATGAAAGAGGTGGGTCGCGACATAGTAGAATCAAAGAAAATGTTAGCAGCATAAAAGAACAAGATTATGTTTCTTTTTTCCCCTTTTTATATATAAGTTTTGGGTGAAAACATTTACTTTATGTTTCATGATTTATTAAAGCTTGTTTTGTGCAACTGAAGGGTGATTTTAAGAAAGCAAAGAAGAAGAAGTCTGATGAACGTGAGCAACTGGACAGCAATGAGAAATGCAGTTTTCCATTGAGCAACTATGCTGATGAACATGTGGAAAATTTTATCAAGCTTCTTGATGCCAATGTCAGGAGCCAAGTGGAATATTCGGACTTTAAAGGCTTAGAGGAGGAATTGGCAAGAGTTAGATACAATGAGATTCCATTTTCTCTGGTTTCTATTTCAAATAAAATTAAGATGAATTATGGAGATGTTACTAAAGACAGCTCACAGAGCGACTACGCTGCTTTGCCTAGTTATGTTCTGTTAGGTGCTGCAGTCAAAGAGATGGATGATTTGAAACTTGAGCAAGTGGACGAGGATAAAATAGTACTGTGGAGAGATGCCATTAATAGTGCCCTCAACGTTCAATTCAAAGTGGACTTCTTCAAGGAACACTTGAAGAGAATTGCTCGTGCTTATTTCGGTTTGAAAGCAAATGATGGTAAAAGAAAGGAAAAGCTTAGAAACATTGATGTTAAGGTCATAAAAACAGAGGATGATAAGGAACTGAATTCTGACGATAAAGAAGAAGAGCAGACTTCCAAGGTGCGGCTTCTGTGTCTGCGTGAAGCAGAATATTTCCAAGGCAAGCGTCTTACCACTGGTCTGTTGCGTTAGCATTTGCTTTTATTGTTTCCGATTATCTGCGGGTTTGGATGCCCCACTACACTTTGCATAGAAATAGTAAAGGTTGTACTATGTTATCTTGGAAAAAATTCGAATGGTCAAATAAGAACTTTTAAGTAATTTCATGGATAAGTTCTAAAATTGTAGATTTACTGCTAAACGGCCAGTTGGTTGGCTTCCGTATCCTGCTTTCGCTCCTGTTTTTTTTTCTTCTCACGATAACCTCCGTTAACCCGTGCCTATTGAATAGAGAACAACTCACTTAAAGACGGTGTTTCAATACAAACACATCAATTTATCAGATCAATCTGCAAGATTAATCAAACATTACAATTATTACAAATGATGGATTCTTATAAGCATTTTTTACAAGTACATCCTTTATTTTCTGGCCTGTTTGGCTACAGATTAATTTCTATTCTCCCTATATCCCCATTAGCAGTATAATTAAAAATATGTTCACTTATATATTTATCGAAGTTAACTAATTATTGACATATCTTTATTCCTTAAAGAAAGAGGCTAAAGATCATCACAAATGATTAAAAGTGTTCCATTTACATTACATAAATTAAGCTAAAGCTGCTCTCATCCATGTAGCAATGATTCGGCTGGAGAGAGAGGTGGTGGAAATTGAACTACGAAATCCGGTTTGGAAATTGTTATGGTCGGCAAAGGTGATTACTAAAGTGAAATATTTCAACTGGATACTAATGCATCCGAAGTGTGTTACGATCTCGACACATAGAGGTAGTGGATGTGTGGGAATCCTAGTGAGAAATTGGCTCATTTATTCTTTGATTGTCACTTTGTTAAGCAGGTTCGAAGTGAACTGCAAAGAAGAGGTTAGTCACTCCCAATCTGTTATCCAAACACATTGATAAGGATCTTGAATGATCAAAGTTGGTCCTCCAAAATCCATGGACCAAATTAATTTTCAATTCAAACATGGGTTTTTGGTTAATAAGACCTCCCTTCTCGTCTTGTCCCGTCCCATCCCCTCTAGGTCCCTTAATCCAAACACACTGTTACAATTTAGTGTCAATTGAGTCCATCTACTTAACAAAATCTGTCAATTGATTATCTATTTGTCCAGTATTACTTATTTACAAAAAAGTTGGTATAACTCTTCTGTTTTTCTGCTTTGTTTACAAGACTGATACTTCGAACAACAAGAAAATGAAGACCACTAATACTGGAAGCTCACAACAATTCAATAGAAACATCAACAGAAACAAAAGCAGAAATAGAAGCAACCTATGCAAGAATCAGAATTTTACTCAACTGATGAATTCTACCAAGTGGCGAGACTCAATTGACATCAAATTGTAAGTAGAGGAACCAAATTGACAGTTTTTGTAGTAGAGGGACTAAATTGATCCTTTTCTGTAAGTAGACGGTATTTTGACCGGATTTTGATTATAATTGCTTTTCACTGCTTAACTTCCATGGGTAATGTCAAGTTTTTGGCTTGACAAAATCAACAAAATCAAATGTATCTTCTTTTATTGAGAAAGCTTTTTTATTTTTGGATTTATAGCTCTTCTATAAGTAATCTCTATCAATTTGTGGAATGTTTTTAGCACCTCCACTACTGCATGGCTTTGTTTATGTGAAATTATCTAATAAACATTGGAGTCTTTGCATTTTGTTCTGAATGATTATTCACTTAATTTATCAATATGCTCAGAAATCTTTGATTGCTTATATGCCAAAGCAGTTATGAGTTTTAAATCTTATTCATAGGGTTGAGTGAATGCGTCCAAGAAGAATCTGCAATGTCTTAATGAACATATATTGAGGATTAGCTTCAAATTGGGCTACCCAGCAGCCGAATTTATAAGTAC